GATTTGAGGCCTGCTGACAAATTGAGTTGATTTATTTTTTTGAATTGCTAAGTTTGGTTGAAGTATCTCACATTTGAGTACGTTTGCAGAGTAAAATTGTGTAATGCTTTTTATTGGATACACTGGCTTTGTATTCCAACCAGACCGTCCGAAATTGTTACTTAAAAATGTGTATTAAAATTATACGCAGATTATAGTTATGTGAGAATCTATTTTAGGAAGCAGATTCATCTGCTTCCAAAAATAAAACTGACTCTTCCGTTTAAAACACGAAAGGTAAGTAATAACAAGCCATATCATCTAATGCAGTTCAGATTCCACAGTATGTAGAGCAGGAGGACAATAGTAAACTACGCACTACCCTACAATCACATATACTCCAGAATTCTCGAGCTAGGGCATCATCAGTTAACTTTTAAAGCTCATTAAAATAGATGGTTCATTCGTTTCGTGTAAATTTTCAGGAGGCGGAAAATTAAAATGGCACCCGAGGCGTAGCACACACCGGTGGAGTACCTATTGTACTGTTCATATGAAAGTAGAACGAAAGAGAAAAACTTCGCGTGTTTTCATACGTTTACTTTACTATAAAAAGTTTATCGGATCGAGTTGGGTGGGTTTCGTTCCGTTTGTTTGAATGTTCGTGAACTGCAGCCTGCATTTCGTTGTGTGTATTATTGGAAATTATTTTTTGCATTGAATTATTTAAATTTGGAACGTTTATTGGTTGAAATTTAAAGATAAAACGTGCTTCATTAAGTTGTAAATACTTTTTCAAATATGATGGCATTATTATGATGATTTTTTTCGACAAATAAGACAATAGTACCACATTTGAATTGCAAAAAAATACTATTGTATGAATAAGGAACTGGGTGGTTTTTTATCAGTATGAAACTCTGGGACGTAAATTACCTAGAGCAAGAGAAGTCATGTGACAATTTTTCACGCACACACAAAAACAGATTAACCTCAGTATTTCAATTACTTAAGCCAAATAAATTTACAAAAAAAAAAACATTTTCACCATGAATTTTGAACAAATTCTTTTGTAGATGCATCGTTAATTATACACAATTCCTTTGATAACATTCCCATTCAAAGGAAAATGGAATCCGATAGACGTGCAGATATCTGGCGCTGCAAACAAGCCCGTTACTGAGAAGCCACGCTGGATACCTTGCAACTGAGGGAACATAATTGATAGCTCCTTCTGTTCAGTGACGTGAAAGGTAAACAATGGATTAGATATGCATATTCCACCAATAATAAACTAAGGAGGTTTATTATCTTTATTTTTATCACAGAGTCCAAATACATAATTATAAATATTTAACAAAAATAATTTCTAGAATTTTAGACCAATTAGCACTTCTACATAAACATGTGCATTTACATTGAAATGATTTTTATTCCACTGTCAAAAAAGGAAAAGTCTAGGTCCTAGGTAGATATTCTAAATTTGAAATTCAAAAGTAAGAATTCTGTCCTCTTACAATATTATCTACCTATCTATGTATATCTATATATCTATAAATGACTGCCATGAAACTTTACTTAAGACATTTTTCGATCCGATTCGTAATTTAATACGTAAATATTTACCGTATTTTACTCAAATCGATAACAAGTCTCAAATTAAACAATTTTATCGAAACATTGAAAATGAAACTGCATATAGACTTCTGACGTCAATATTCATATCATATTCCCCAATGCTGTAATTCGATGACAAAAACACAAATACTCTCTATAGAAATAACTGGCATACAAACAACGATGTCAACAGTATTCCATTTGTATCACGTTCACATTACACCAAATGTAAATTGAATCTGACGTTAATTAAAAATGCCAATGAAAGCAGTTTACTCGATATAAATCCGCACATCACTACAATGTCAGCGCCCCGCACTACAAGACAAAGCGAAATCCAATCGGTATGTGTATTAACTGTATGTAAGCTATCTGCCTGGTACAGACTAGCCCATTGCCCGCAAGCCTGCTAAATACCAGCCAATAATATACTTACGAAGAGTGCACGACAGAGATTTGCAGCCATAAATTGAATGAAGCTACCGACAATGCGTGCTCATGTTTGGGACGATTTAAATTCTCATTCATACGTAATGCTTTTGTTGGTGTCTACCATTGAATTTAATTAATGGGACTTAGATAAGGACGGCAATGATGGTTTTTGACCGCGGTTTGCTGGCACAGAAGCGATATTTTTAATCGTGTTTGAGTGTCATGTGGAAAGAGTGATACGTGAGAGGTTTTCCAAAAAAGACAAATGTGCTTTTGTGTGTAATTAATGAGGTTGGTTTTGACACCTCGTTTTTGTTAATGTTTTGACTGTTATGTTTTGCTACCTACATTTTACAAAGAAAATTATGAATTATTTTTATGTTTATTTGCAACACTCGTGGCTGTTTTACGAGCTTATAATCTCAATAAATATATCAGTTTTGATGTATAAAAATCAATGCAGTCCAAAACGTTCAATCAACTCAACAAAATTGACATTTTATCTGCGAGTGACAGTTGACCACAACCAAACAGTTTGGATGAAAAGCTGCGTTAACCACGACTAGTCTAAACTTGCGCAGATTTTGCACCCTTATTGTCTGTCAAAGCGTTTTCAATCTTAGGGGTTGATTCGCATTTGTCATCAATTGTATTGAATTTCCTTATTATGAGCACGCAGTTTCTGAATACAACAATACAAGTCGATAAGGTTCCTAATATAATGTTATAGGTTACTACAGGATTATCACAAAGCTGTGGTCTTGTACTGTTAAAGATTTTTGGTCCCTACTACAAAGATGTTACAGCATATTTTTGGTAGCATCGTAAATAAACATCCTTCCTTTCGTAATTTCATTAAATTTGCTTGTGATTTTGAATTTAAATTTAGGTGCACTATTATTTTATGAATGAAGGCTACTGAGAATGATGGCACAATCGAATAGTGGATCGGTTTGATAAATTTTCGTTCACTGTATTCCTGGAAGATCTAATGTTTTTACATGGTCAACGTACTAAGAAAACTTGTTTTTTGACGGCTGTCGTATCTGATCACTTTCGCACCGATCTTGTTATGTGATTTTTTTTTTGTGTGGTGAAAATCATCAAATGACATGGAGGGAGTGTTAGACTGTTACTACTCCTGCTCTGGGCCGAGGTCGTGGTGCCTCATTGCGCTTACCCCGCAACCCCGGCTGAACATCAGCCCTATAGGACCCCGTCTGTGGTGGTCTATTGGCTCTTTGAGTCGCTCGCGTAACGCTACGCGCCGTACGCTCGGGCCTGGTTCTGGTCGGGCGGCGAGCTGCCCTTACTCGCCGACCGCAGACTCGCGCTTACGGTGGCCGGAGATCGTCCCTTGATCCCCGACGCCCGTAGTGTCGCCTGTTGCGGCGGCTGGGGTGTGAGGAGGAGGATTGCTCCCTCACGCGGGCCGCCTCCCTCTTTGCGAGCATAACTGCTTCACAGAAGTAGGAGACGGCGTCCCAGTTCCTCTCGCTCTGCACCATGGCCTCGACTAAGGCCAGGCGCGAGAGGTCGCTGCCGCCGATCACTTCCCTGAAGATACGGCGGCTTGTTATGTGATAGAATGGCAAACAAGCAGACGTATTATCAGATGGTAAGCAAACGACGCCGCTCAAGGATACTCGCAACACCAGAGTAGTTATGATTATGTTGCCAGCCTTTTAGGGATTAAGAAATGAAGGATTGGGTTTTGATTTTTCACAATGATCTCCACAATGTCAAAGATAGGAGAACTAGGTGCAAAAAGATGGCACGTGTGTACGTGAGACAGAAGGTATGGTATACCGATGGCATTAAGAAATACAAAGCAAGGTAGATCAATATAATTATATAAAGAATGATAATAAAACACAATGTTGATCAATTAGTATTTAAATTATTTTATTAAAAAATAGGTATCCAAAGACTAATACAAAAATTAAAATCCATCGAGTTTATGTTATTTATTGTGTTACCGTCTATTTCAATGTAATGGTCTTAGCATGACGTATCGCACATAAAAATAGGCCTCTTGGCAGTTTACATTGCTTTTTATAATATTTATTTGAATACATTTTATTTAAAGACACCTTGCAGTTTAAAAAAATATTGTAATGTTATATTTTAAAATTATTCTTCACATCATCAATTAGAAGTATTTAGTTAAAAACATAAATATATGGGATAACATTTGCCACTGTCTTTACGGGATTAAACAGTACTTCAAGTACACAAATTTTGTTTGTTTGTTATTAACCGACTTCAAAAAAGGAGGAGTTTTTATGACGTCATTATAACTAAAGGAGAAAATGGATGTTTTATAAATATTTTTATCAATGCTATTTTTTTTATTAATGAGATCTTTTATCAAATGATGATGTGAAGAAAACCTTTAAAAAGTGAAAGAAAAATGATAAATGAATCAATCATTAAATTGATTTTACGTTTTACAATATTTCTCCAATCTAAAAACAATGAACGATCAGATTATTCCGTATCATATAACTATTAATAATAAACAATATTTTAGTATTATTACGTGAAATGCCTATTGCTTTGATTATTATTATGCAACAGAGTGCGATAATAGGAACTACGAAGAGTTTATCTGCAGTCTAACCTCTATTTTTTATATGAATCTGCAACTTTGCAAAAGCAAGGTATCTAAATAAGGATGAGAACATAGGAGTAATTATGGTGACAAGCACATCGACAAGATACATAGCTAGACATAAGTTGACATTATATTGTATATTTTTGTTTAAGATCAGTCAAAGTATTAAGTCTAGAAGGTGTAGGACAATAAGGTTTTCTTCGATTATGTGCGACTGTTAGGTTGGTAAACCTAGCGATTTCGACCAATAAAGATTGAGTGAAAAATGTGATGATCTCTAATTTTTAAAGTCAGACATTCTATGTAAATGCACAGCTAAACCTGTGTATTAGATAAAACCAAGGTAATTTGACTTGCAATTTCAGCTTTTACTAGAAACGTAATAAGAAGCCCATCTTGCTCTACTTCATTAACTTTCCGAAACTCTAATAATACTTTGCCAATTCTGTCACTAATAACATGAGTATAAACGACAACATGTATAGCTTGATGAGCGAGCTTCAAAGAATCCTGTGATCGTTCTTCATTTAGATTAATGCTCTCATCGGTCGAGCTTGTCACCACAACTCGCGATCTTTGTGATCTCCGCCCAAAATACTCTGTTTAACAGTCCAAAGAGAAAAAATAACAAAATTATTTTGAAGTAATTATACAAAAGGCGAGCTCCATTTTACATTTATTTACAAATGAAGGACGAATACACATTTTATTTTTATTAATTTTTTATTTCAGATATGGAAGCGTCCTAATTAATAACATTTTTAACTATTAAATGACTAATACATTTGATATGCAATACAAGTCGTGCTATTTAATATTATAACAAGTGGCTATATAAACTCATATCACATGATCTTACGTAGATTATAATTTTTAGTTTTGTAAAAGCTTCATTTTATTTTGAATTTTATCTCACAACTCCAATGTTACTTTATTATTTTATTTATTTAGCTATGACCTCTACATATGGCACGTGAAATAAACTAAATAATAATACTAATTTTAATACAGTTAATAGAACTAATAATAAGATTTATGAATTAATAAATTATTTTTTAAATGCAATATCAAATCAAAATACTATTAAAACAATCCGAAACTATTTTTTCATTATTATTAGTATTATTTACAATGCTATGAATGATTTAATAAGGTTATGTTATTTCAAATTATTGCCAAGCGTTAATTTTGTTGTTTCTATTTATATCTTATTACACTTACACTAATGATATAGGATTACAAATTCGTTTATTGATATTCAGACGGACATATCAATTGAATTTCCAATTCCAATAATAACATTGTAAACATTTATCAGAATTGATATTAAACTTCACAAAGTTTAGGTTATTCCAAGAACATTATTCGACAAACTATTAATAATTATTTACATTATTTACAAATAATAAATCTATAGTTACAAGGACTAGGTATACTTCAAAATATATTATTAGAAATTTTATTTAAATTAATCACTTTTCGGATAAATATCAGATAATGTCGTCACTAGGCCAGTCACTTTTTAAATCACAATTTTAGGCCATTACAATGCACAGAAAGTTGAAACAAAAATCATTCACTGTCAATAATCATTTCCAAAACAAATTAATCACGATTCTTTTCACAAAAATTTTCAGTAAGTGCACAACACGAGGAAGAACTGCGATCTCGGTGACGTCACTACACTACTAGGAAAGTATCGGTCTATACGTCCGTTTGGCACAGGTCGCCGAAAACCGGCAAGGCGTGATACTACCGGGTTACAGAGTCTACCCGGGGATGAGGCGCGGGTGGGGGATGCGTTGGAGCAAGGGTTGTCTTGGCACTGCCAGGCAGCCCCTGTCCTTGCCTGAATGACGTCAGCCGGGCCAGCGTCCGCGTTGCATCGTTGTCAAAGTTAGGCCTCTCGTACTGATGCTGTGGTCTCTGCCTCTGAGGCTGCATCGCTTGCAACTCATCATAACCACCATCTTCCGGATAATTTTCCTCATCTGTCTCATCTTCACCAAAAGCTCTGTACGTTGACTCGGTTTCAGAATTCTTCCTAGAGCTAATCCCATAGGTACGACCTATAAGCGATTGGGTTGCATCAGTCTTAGAATTTTTATCCCCCTTCCGGTCGTCCAAACTCTGATTGTATCGTATCTGAGCTTTCTGCGTTTTCTCTAAAGAAGGTAAGTCGTAAAATTTCAAAACATTGGGATGACCTTGGAAATATTTTTCGCTGTACACGTTTCTATTGTAGTACCCTCCGTTGCTAGCTGGATACATTTCCTCTTCAGGCGCATATCGATTATCAAAAGAATCGACATTTTTTCCGGTAGGAGGAAACCAGCCCTGTTGAAAAAAATTTTCATTAGTACAATATGATACAAATATCATTTACTATTGACTATTGTGAACAGAATATAGCCAATACTTATACATTGAACAATACAACTGACTATAATAGGCAGTCGTTTGTCTCAATATAAAGTTAAATTGCCAATCCCCAGGCGTCAATTACAACCCGAACAAGTGATTCTTCAACACTACTTGACGTTCAAACAGTTGAGTGAATAAATTAAATGGCACAAACTTTGACTTGGCAGAGCTTCAAAATTTCGAAATCGAGAACATTATATAATTGGACACTTACCAATGAACTCACACATTGCCTGGTATTGGCAACCAAAGTAACCGAGGCATACGCCGCCGGTGAAGTGGCAGTTTTACTTGTGTTCCATTCATTTGCATTTGCTCGTGAAGACGTCACTTCCGCATATTCAGGTAATTGGTGAGTAACTTTGTCGTATTCCGAGTTAGTTTTCTCTTTGCTTTGACTGGTTTGAGTGCCGGACATGCACAATCCTGGCTGATTCTCCATCCACAACAATGACTCAGTCTTCGTCACAGTGTTCTTATTGTAACAACTAGTGAGTGGATGTGACAAAGACACTGCGGCTTTTATGTTCATTTGAGTCACCAAGCTCGTGCCGTTGGAATCTAAAACAACATCTCCAATTAGACATACCAAGGATTCCCTTCATTATAATATCGTTTGACAACCATTTCATAAGCCGAATGCAAATGATCTCGTTTACTGAATACTTAAAAGATGTAAAACGCAATATAAAACAAACAAAGCGAGGGAAATTGGCTTAAAGGTAACTGGGTGAGTCAACAAACGAATCGCCTGGAGAAAACAAAATAGAAAACATTTACATTTACTGGGTCTTTATTTCTCGGATTTGTATCATTCCTTTGTGCCCCGAACGTGAATGCAAAGTGAAAGAGATCCACTGCGCTCACGAGAGGGCTCGCGCTACCTTTCAACTCGAAAGTAATCTAGCTCCCCTCCCTTACCGTCGCATGGCAAAGCCTCCATCAAACAAACGCTCGGCGCCCTGCACCACCCCACGACACCCGAGGAATGTTTTTAATTTTGAAATTCTGATGCTGATTCCTCGGAAAAAATAGCGTTCCAGATAAGCTGAATAACTGTTTATTTTCGAGTTAACATCGCCAGTTGTTTTATGTGAAAGCGATCCACACCGAACAATCGAAGTTTAATACCGAGCACTTTGTTGTTCAGGATGGCGGACTTTATTATAATATTATGTACATTGTCACTTACCGTAAATATTAGGGAGAGCCGACTTTTTGGCGAAAATGTTGTGCTTCCGAACGTAAATAATGCCGCCAATCACAATTATTTTGAACAGAACAATCGCTCCAATCAAAAAGTAAAACCATGTTTCCATAACAAAATCCCCCGCTACTATAGACACCTCCCCGTTTATTGGATATCTGCAATAAAATAAATATGTCAGAATGTCCATCGGATGTTACATGTAATGACATTTCATTTGCGATTATATTCTGTGGATTTTATTTGTGAAATGAATTTACCTGGATAAAGGATCGAGTCCAACAGAGCGGGAATCGATATTTAAATATACTTTTTGACTAAATGGTCCAAGCCCCACGATAGTTTCTGCCGCAATTTGAACCGAGTAGCTGACACCAGACGTCAAATTAGTCATAATTAAGCTGGTAGCTTGATGTACAGTTGTGTTGATGGCAACCATGGATTTGTTCGCAGGTATGTCCAGCCAATTAACCAATACATTATAACCAGTTATGATTCCATTTTGTAAATGGGCTTCTGGAGGAGACCATTTCAAATGAACCGTCGTAGTATTCAAAATGAACATTTCAATGTTAATTGGAGGACCGTCAGGTACTGCAATAAAAAATATAATGTTTAAAAAATGCAATGAAAGAACGCAGAATTTATAAAATGTAAATGCTAACTGGGTATTTACCATCATCCAAAGTTTGAGCCACTTTTGAATTCGACGGCTTCCCCTCGAATTTCTTATAGAACGGTATGAGGAAAAACTCGTATTTTGTGTATTTTTGCAAAGACGTTATTTCATATCCGGAGACATCGTTGGAATGCAAAATAGTTTTCATCTCATACTCGGTCGTTATATTGTCTAGGGGTCTGAAATATATGAATAAGCCCTCCAAGTAGTAAAAGTTTAGTATTTCCCACATGAGTTTTATAGTTTTTGAGTCAATTGGTGTGGCTTCAATTAATTCCACTATATTGTCAGTGAGAATATTGTTGCGGAATTCAGTATTATTCGAAAAAACTCCAGATTCCCACAAAGAGCTTGCATCATCGCCGACAGTGACCGCATCGGACACTGGACTAGGGCCAGACAGCCCATGGGAATTTTCCGTTCGGACAATGAACATGTAAGTAACTCCAGGTACTAAGGACTTTGCAACAAATTGCGTATGATACACTCGCCTCGCCAGTACTACCCAACCTCTAGAGTTCCTTGGTGTACTACTTCCTGATAGTGTTTCTCTAGAAAATACTTCAACTTGATAGCCAAGTATAGACGAGGAACCTATTTTGTTATTCTGGTTCCAAGTTATAGTAACACTTGTTTCTGTCACATTGTGTATAAGCGGCTTTGTAGGCGGCCCCGGCAGAGAGGAAACATCGGCTGCTCGAAAAAAATGAATGTTAGGATTTATCGGGCTATCGACGAGCAGCACCCCACTCCACACATATTTCCCGTGATGGGAGGAAGCCACGCACGTATAAGTACCGCTGTCTATTTTGTCCAAATCCTTCAATATGAGAGTACCATCATTAGTAACATTCCTTCTATGATTTTGTATTAATGCTTCCCCTTCAAAATACCATGCAATGATTGGTTCAGGTGTGCCCACGGCCGTACAGGGGAAAACTGCCATCGATTTTATAGGTAACGTTTGGTTAGAGGGCCCGTTTGTTATGATTGGCGGTGGGCGGTCATCGTCTGACGTCACGGTTAGTTTCCCTCTGACAAACGAACTGCCAGCGAAGTTTACCGCCGAACAAACTATCGTGTTTCCACTATCATTTTTATTTGTGTCGTTGATTGTTAGTACAGTCACCCCGTCTAGTACTGTCGTAGCATGATATTTCCCTCTTGATGTACCAGGGAAGATAATAGTTCTATTTCCTTCTATACTCCAGAACATAGTCGGCTCAGGTCTACCGGTGGCCGAACAAGTAAACGTTGCCATTGTCCCAGTTTCAACATTCACCGAATTAGGTTTCAATATGATTGAAGGAGGATCTACAAAAGAAAACAAGTCAATGAAATAAGAGTAAACGTAATTGAAATAAACATAACAATGCATATTCGCGGAACAAAATGAATAAAAGCTTCGATGTAGTAGTAACATACCGTATACAGTCAAGTATCCACTAGCGCTCACAGCACCAACAGAATTTTCTGCTTCACAAGCGTACTCTCCCTCGTCCCCTAGAATAACGTTGTCGAGTCTCAAGCTCCTGTCGTCAAGAACTTTGACGCGGCCGAGTGGCATATTTCCACCTCCAGCGGTCCTTCGCCACAGCACGTCCGGAAGGGGATCCCCTCCCACTCGGCATTGGAATGTGACGCTACCTCCAGTCTGCGCCACAACTTCCTCCGGGCCCGTGATTAAGTACGGCTTAACTGTGCAGTGAGAAATGTCCCTCTGAATTACATGACAAAAGAGGTGTTCGCGAGAAACGGCTTACAAATGTCGAGACGCAAACAGAAATTACAGAGTTATGAATTGAATTTAACAAATCTTTGCTAGTTGCGAATTCGAGGTTGGAAATTGTTACTCACTGTGTATTCTGAGCGTTGCTACAGCTGATTCCCTCGTTCCCGCCGCATTCCTGGCGATACATTGATATCTTCCAGCGTCGGTTTGCCTGGCGTCTTGTATTACGAGATTGCCACCGTCGACTAAATGCATCCTGGGGCAATAAAGCATCATTCTTAAGCTCGGAAAGTAAACAATTGTCTTAATATTAATAATGAACCTTTTTATTCCTTCGAACAAAGTGCATAGTAACAAAGTAATTCAAATGTGGGGCGGAATATTTCAATGGGAAATTAACATTTAATAAAGGGTCCGGTGAGTCAGAACTATTGAGATTTTTACTTGATTGCTTGTCGAGCTCTTCAAATATCCCCTTCCTTTATAACTTTGATGTACCTCCCTCTCTGCGTACGGCTGTTAATTATTTTTATGCTCCACCATACGTAACTGCGCGCCCTCAAGATATAGAGCTCATAAAAATTCATAGAGAGCAAAGTGAAAATTGGCAATATAACTTTTGAGCGAGATTCAATTCACCGCGTTAAGATTTATCTCATTTTCAAACAATGTTCAGCTTGTAAGTTTTACTTTGTCATATTAATGTGTTTTAAAATTGTATGTAAAGTTGCAGAATACGTAAATATTTTATTGTGTTAGTGGATTTATACTGAAATAAAACTGAATCTTCGAAAAGCAACATCGCTATAAATAAAATTATTGTCTTAGATCTTAATCAGGTGTTCGAAGGCTCTATAAATATTCTTGGGCACTTAATTGCGACCATTACCAAGTCTCGGTCGTAAAAGATCGTTCGTTCCCACAGCTAGGATCCGCATAAATTAGTACTTAGTTTGATTGGCCATAAACATTTGACGCCGGAAAATGGAGTGCTACCCGTGAAAGCAAAATTGCCAAAAGTCAATGAAAATGAGTTTTCTTTATTAAAAAAAAGTAGGACAAACAACTTATTAAAACCTTAACTATAAATATATATTTGTTTTTGTTAATTTTTTTTTTGCTTCTTCATTTGCAAATCAGTATTCATTTTCAAATATTTATTTCAGCTTTAAGAGATGTTTATTTTTGTTCTAAAAAATATGTTCCAAACGCTCTAAGGTCTGACACCATGAAGAATTTCAGTCATTCATCTTAAAACTTTGCTCTACAACTTAGCACTCCATTTTGCTTTAATCCGTGTTCGTGAACTACGGTGGGATGTGAAGATATCCGATATCAAACGACTGTTGGAGTAGCTATTCAAGACTATCATGTTCCCGCTATCCAACTACGCTAGCATGAGCACTTACTACCCTCAAATTTGCCTTTAAATTTTCCTTTTATCAGAGATGCTGTGACTTCAGATAATTTACAAGTCTTTTAAGTTACAATAAAATTTAGAATAGAGAAAATATATATTTTATGCTACTTCCAAATTCTACGTAGAAGAAAAAATACGTGAGACAGGTCTTTTATGATATTAAGGTTAAAGTACCCAATTTTTGAATGGTGTACTTAAACGATTTAGATAAAATAGATTAAATTGATCAATTTTATAATCCGTCATCAACAACAATAAGCAAAAGTAAATCATGTTTATCGCAATATAAAAAACTAAAAACACAGGAAAAAGGGGTATACACCAATTTCGTCTTAATTATACGGTAAATTAGTCAGGTTTAAAAATTTTGCAAGGAAATGAAACACTACCAACCTGGAGTCACCATCAAAATGCAGCATTTGTCCATTCTTCTTCCAGTAAACAGTTGGTTCTGGTGAGCCTCGTGGTGGAGAACATTCTAGTATCACAGTCTCTCCCTGCGCCGACTGAGTCGACACCGGTTCCAGTCTGAACTCTTCACGAAGAACTGTAGGAAATATTAGCAATGTCTGAATAATGTTACGAGGGTTTCTGTTGCACTGATTTATGCTCAAAAAAGTCTAATGGCATATTATTGACAAAAATACAAAACAGTGAACAAATTTTTGATTCAAGAATAATTTCAAAATCAAGTCTCCTTATTCTTAATTTTGACTCAACCAGGTATTTCTAGTAATATGAATCCGAGGTTAAACGTTTAGTAGGTATAGCAACATTTTAAACTGTTTGTTCCATTTTCGAGTCAAGATTAACTGTTGCTTGCAGAAAGAAACCTACATACCAACCAAACAATTATTGATAAAAACGAACTTACCGGCAACATGCAATGTAGCGTTTCTGCTTCTAGCTGTGCCATAAGGATTGGTGGCTTCACACCAGTAAACGCCTGCATCTGAATGTGCCCTGCCATGAGTGGTTCTTAGGAAGAACAGCCCTCCAGCTGGGAGCAAGCTTCTGTGAGTGTCTGATACTACAAGAACCCCTCCTTTGTACCATCGTATGGTGGGAGATGGTGACCCTCCAGCTCGACAGTTGAGGGTTGCGGGCTGATGCCGCGCAACTGTGACGTCAATCGGTTGCTCAATGATGTACGGCGCTTCACCAGTACTGACGTAGTCATCATTCATGCCACCATTTACTGGACCTGGTAACAGAAGAATGGAATTTTACTTATATGGGTATTCTAAAAAACTCATAAAAGTTTCGCTAAAATCTATTTAAGTCCAGTTCATTGATCGCCTTTTTATACAAATAACGAAATACTGTAAATAAGTTGTTCAAACGTATTTTTGAACGTGGTTGTTGAAATTATCCAGATAGCATTTATGCTTTTGTTAAAATAAACTAATAATATTGCGAACTCTGCCAGATTCTTTGCCTTGCTGTCGAACATTAGCACGGCTACTCCTGTGTTATGTCGACCCTTACAATATAAATTACTGTGTAAACACTTATTTGAAGTGTTTATGCAGTGGCGTGTTGAGCAAGCGTCATGGAAGGAAACGTTCGATCCCACCCACTGCAATTTCTCGCCAACACAAGCTTTATTTTAAAATATTCCTTAACAAAAGCCCTTTCTAACCTACGGTTTATTATAATAATAGGTTGAGTATGTCATTTGCAGTTGCTCTAAAGCGTCGCACAATAATAATGAGCTATAAACACAGGCTTGCCCATACAGGGACTGAGGGCTCCCTGAAGCTGGGGCTGCCCCAGAACCCCACTATTTTACTCTGTTTACAACGAACGCGCAGATGTTAGTTTTTGACACTCCAATTGATGTATGTCTATTGTTGCAGCGAGCTATTGTAGCACAAGAAAAAATCGATGGAAAAAATTCGATTCGGTGTCCGATTTTAGCAAAATGAACCTTCATAATCGATATGCGAGTCGATTTCATAGGCGAAGTTGTATTTTTCAAACGAAATCAATAGGGATTACTCTTTTGTGTGTGGTAATTGTGTTTATTTATTCACGTGTCCCAGAGTTGTGAATGTGGTACGATACAAGGGCTAATCTATAATTGAATCTCCGTTCGATTTGCTATCTTTCGATTTTTGTGTGTTTTCAGCCTGTTTACGCACTTCACTTTACTTGCACTGAACCACTACTGTAGGATACTGTATAATGAAACAACTGCTTGTCTTGTGAGAACTGAACTGTATTTCGAACCGTCAAGCTCTTATATAACCAGCGGAGAATCTTAACACCGCGATACAGAAAATCGAGGTCAATGCACAACTCCATCTATGGTAGAGCTTGGGAAACAATATGCGACGGTGCGTTCAGCGCAACGCCATCTATATTTTTATATCAGAACCAACGTTGCGTTCACGACTAAACATCCCGCCCACCATGGACAGATTGTCCATAACATAATTAAACATTTTTTATTCGAAAGTGGACTGTAAATAAATTAACAAAGAATGCTTCTTAATGTTACACAAGTTTTACATAATACTTAAGTGATATAATCTTTACACAGGTCTCTTAACTATTATCTCCTTACAGCACAAAGAATTAACAAAATAAAATGATTCTTAATGCTACAACAATTTTTACATATTAATTAAGTGGTAATAGGGAGTACAATCAACTTTGACACAGGTCTTTTAACAATTGTGCCCTTACAGCGCAATGATACTACTCGTGTGACCTTGTCCGAGCCAGAATGCTTTTCGATAATTAACCCGTGAAGCCATCTCGCAGGTGGCAAATCATCCTCCACAACTAATACTACATCACCTATTTTAGGTTCCACAGTTTGTTGAGTCCATTTGTTCCTCTGATGGAACTGAACGAGATACTCCCGGGACCACTTACGCCAGAAATCTTGGACCAAACGCTGTGTCAACTGCCATCGCCGCAAATTGCTAACATTTGAGGTTTCAAAGTTCGATTCTGGTGCAAGGAGTAGCGATTCTCCAATTAGAAAATGTCCCGGAGTAAGAGGATATGGGTCATCTGGATTATTACTTATAGCCGAAATTGGTCTGGAGTTGAGGCATGCTTCGGTCTGGGCTAAAACTGTAGACATCTCCTCAAAAGTAAGAGTGTGGTTTCCAACCACCCTTTTAAGGTGATGTTTGCAGGACTTCACCCCTGCCTCCCAAAGTCCTCCAAAGTTTGGCGAGTGAGGTGGGATGAAGTGCCAGGTTGTCCCATTGGTTGCCAACCATTCCGAAAGTTCCGCCCTTACTCCAATTCGTTCGTGAGTGAATAAGGCCTTTAACTCCTTGTTAGCTCCGACAAAGGTAGTACCATTATCACTCCACATTTCGTGACAATGACCTCTCCTTGCAGTAAACCGCTTAAAAGCAGCTAAAAAGGCCTGTGAGGTCATATCGCTCACAACCTCCAAGTGTATGGCCCTAGTGGCCATGCATATGAACAAACAAATATAGCCCTTGGTAGCATGGTGACCGCGACCTTTAGATGACCTGATACTAATTGGTCCTGCATAGTCAACACCACTTTTGAGGAAAGGTCGACTAGCGTTGACTCTTGCCGAAGGCAATGACCCCATCAATGGAGCTACAGGCCGAGCAGAATACCGCATGCACTTAACACATTTACGAATATATTGTCTAACAACTCCTTTTGCATTAATAATCCAGTATTTGGATCTCAAATAATTTAAAACTAACTGAGGACCACCATGCAATGTGCGCTCATGAGCGTCAGCGATTAAAAGATTCGTTAAATGTGACTTATGAGGGATAATGAGAGGATGCTTAGTATCTTCGTGAAGATTGGCTTTATGAAGTCTACCGCCAACTCTCAGAAGTTGATCGTTATCTAAATGAGGATTGAGTGAATTGAGTACTCCTGCCTTGTCTAATTTTCCCTTTGTCTGTAACATTTCAATTTCTGTCATAAAATATTCCTGTTGGCATAATCTTATGCAGGTTAATAATGCCTTGTTAATTTCAGTGTGTGTGAGAAAATTATTAAACTTAACCGTGTCATTTCTTTTCTTAAAATTTAAAAACCTTCTACAGTAGGCGATTACTCTAGTAAGTTTCCTCAAACTCGAATATTTATTTACAATAGAATCCTCATCCCTTGTTACGACATTGCATGCTAGTACCCCTTTCTCCTCTAAGTTGGTGTCCTTTATCAACCTTCTGTTGTAGTTTATTTCAGCCTTTTGTAGCCAACTAGGTCCCTGCTTCCATAACACTAAGTTTGCGCACTCTGAGAGATTTACGCCGCGCGATGCGTGATCGGCAGGATTATCTTTAGACTGAACGTGTGACCACTGATTACTGTTCATAAAAGTGAGTATGTCAGATACCCTATTCCCAACAAACGTTTTCCAACGGCTGGGATGACTGCTTAGCCAGGCGAGTACCACTGTTGAGTCAGTCCATGCACGTATGTTTTCCTTACGTACGCCTAAGGTGTCAGACACTTCCCGCAGGAGTTTTGATAGAAGCACTGCACCACATAACTCCAAACGAGGTATGGATACCTGTTTGACCGGAGCCACTTTGGTCTTTGAGGCTACAAGACTAACCTGCACATTCCCATCAAAGCCTATGCACCGAGTGTAAACTACTGCCGCATAAGCAATATTGGAGGCGTCACAAAATCCATGCAACTCTAAAAGGACATCGCGTTTACTTGTACTAATCCACCGCGGTAATTTAAATTCTTGCACTCGGTAAAGGTTATTTCTAAACATGGTCCATTCCTTTAAGAGCTGATCAGGAAGTTCATCGTCCCATTCAATGCCTGCTAGCCAGAGACGCTGAATAAACACCTTAGCTGTGATAACAACAGGAGCCAACCAACCGAGAGGATCAAATAAGCGAGCGATATCTGACACTACCTTGCGTTTAGTTACAGGGGCTTCAAGCGGAGGAAGATTTACAGTATATTTGAAAGTGTCAGTTAGTCTATCCCAAGTGAGACCTAAGATCTTCATATCTGAATCTGATTTTAATTCTAAATTTTCAGTTAATGGTCCCTCCTTGATTTTATTATGCAAATCAACATTACTACTAGACCACTTCTGAAGCTGAAAGCCTCCGCGACTTAACAAATCGTTCATTTGTTGATGTATTTGTTGACCCTCAGCAATAGATTCACAACCCGATAAAAAGTCGTCGACATAAAAATCCTTAATAATTCGATCGACTATTAAGGGAAACTTGCTTCCTTCATCATGAGCAAGCTGTTGTAGTGTGCGGACGGCCAGGTAAGGAGCAGAAGCTGTACCGAATGTGACACGCATGAGTCGGAAATGTTCCAACTCTGCATCTGGTTTGTCACGCCACAGAAAGCGTTGATAATCAGCATCCTCTTTACTAACCATAACCTGACGGTACATTTTGACTATGTCCGCAACTAAACTAATTGGATGGCGACGCCATCGCATTATAACTTGACGCAAATCAGGTTGTAGGGTTGGGCCCACCATTAATTCCTTATTTAAGGATACACCATTGTGGCCAGAACATGAAGCGTCAAAGACGACCCTAACCTTGGTAGTGACTTTATCGTCACGTACCACTGCGTGATGTGGTAGGTAGAACGCATCATTACCTAATTCCACTAATGGGACCACTTCAGCGTGTCCCAACTGAATATACTCATTGATAACAGCCCTATACTGTTCCCAAAGTTCTGGTTCTTTAATTAATCTTCTCTCTAGGTTGAGAAAACGTCTGCGAGCAATGACCTCGGAGGACCCTCCAAGTGCGCAACTGGGGTGTTCAGTTTTGAAAGGCAATTTTACAATATACCGCCCAGTTGCATCGCGTTTGGTGGTCTTGGAGTAGAAATCTTCGCACTTCTGTTCTTCCTCACTCAAAATACGTTGAACTGAAGGCTCCGATTCTAACTCCCAAAACTTACGCATGAGGTCATTGACATCTGCTGACTGTACTACTGTATGATAACATACTGGCCTAGAGACAGCTGAGGATTGGATTTCGCCCGAGACGATCCATCCAAGTTTGGTTTTCTGTGCGACTGGACTACCAGGCGGACCCTTAACCAAACCGTCTAAAAGAACTTCTCCGACCACTTGTGCACCTAAGAGCAGATCAATCTTTCCTGGTGTGTGGAATGAAGGATCTGCTAATTGCAAGTTTGCAAGCGACGAAGGAACTTGTATTATCTTCCTTTCCGGAAGAT